ACTGTGTCCGGAGAGCAAAAGCAATCTAAGGATTCCTTGAAGGAGACCTAAATGTGTTCATTAGATAAAGCCAGCCCCCAAATGGAACAATTCCAGCTACTAATAATGAAAGCAGAGAAGCAACAATCCATTCCCTTCTCCCCCAAATCCAAGTCATCCACAATATCAAGTCAGACCCTGTGACCTTCAAAGCACGTCTTCCAGTCCTGCATGTCTTTCAGTACTATATGCAGTTGGAGAGAGGAGAAATTAGTCACCTTGTGATGTTTTCTCCAGTAACCCAAGACCAGCACATGCATCAAGGAGTCTTTCTGTTCCACACACAGAGGTTCCAACCTCATGTGCAATATCCGCAGCTTTCAGTGGACCTTTATCTTTCAGATGATCGAACACTTTCAGCTTAGAAGCTACAAACAGAGCCTACACGCAGGAAAAAAAATTGTTAGCGTGCTGTGTTTAAAAGACTGCAATCAAGAAACAAAAGAACTATACCTTTTGCCTAGAATTATTCTACACAGCTACTGTTCTTTAAGAAGTGCAACACAGTTTAAGAAAACTCCTAAAAATTGCTCTGATATGTCTCCTTCCCTCTCAGAGGGTTTCACTATCTTAGCCAAGCAACAGAATTTTGAACAGATGTGTTTGGGAGAGAAGGGAACTCAATATTTTGGAATGCAGCCTACAGATTTTGTATGAAGGCCACCTCTTTATTCAAATATTTAGCATATCCCCATCTATAAGATCATTCCATGAGGTCAAACATTCTCAAGCATCTGAACCAATGCCAAAAAATCAAATTAAATTTGATTTACCCAAAACATAAGAAACTGGAAAGCTCCACAAAGGCAGTGTAACAGCTTCAGTTTCTATAATACAGGTCTTTGTTTAATAAAAAGTAAGGAAAAAAAACCAAAATACTTCAGAGCACAACTGTACTACACGCGTACCTTAACAGGACACGTACACACAGAACTGAGAAGAGAGAACAGCTAGTGCCTGACGGTGAAGAAAGACAGCTGCATTGCCCATGAGTTTAAGGAACTGAGAAGAGAGAACAGCTAGTGCCTGACGGTGACGAAAAACTCATGGGCAATGCAGCTGTCTAAGTTGAAAAATTTAACTGAACTTGTAGAGGTATGCTAACCAAACCAGAGAGGACAGTTAACGAGATATGATAATATATACCTCTCCATTTGAAATTAATTTGCAATTCTGCAGTTTCAGTATTCTGAAATAGTTAAAACACCTAAACCCAAGGAACTTATGTAGAGTACAAGAGTGGAAGCACACACAGCAATCACAGAATCCATTTCTTCAGAACTGCAGGCAACTATAATGTACTTAAAGGCAGTCAAGGAAAAAAAATGGATTGACATTCTGATTAATAAAAAATAAGTGGAGAAAAAGATTAACTTTGAGAGGAAGGTCTGCTACTGTGTGTCTATATATTTTATCATCTTCATCCTCTTTTTACATTTTCCTCTGTTATTCTAATAAGAATGTATAGCTGGGATTTGTTATAATCCAGGTTTTCACAACACTGAGCCAACTGCATCTAGTCTACAACCATTTGGCTTGTAAGACCTGCCCAATCTTTGGACTGATATCACCTGGAAACTGTAAGAACATGAAAGAGAAGGTGAGAAGATAGGGTCAAAAACTTGTCTGATCAAAATCACTCTTTCTACCATTCTGTAATTGAGTTAAGGGCGGGGGAATAGAAGAAAAACCCTCAAAGGTCTGAGTACAGATCAGACTAGGCAAATTCAGAACAGAAGTTTGAGAATGTTATGATTTAACCCTGATCCCCTGCTGTTCTGCAACAGCAGCTGTTCAGAGTAAAACAGGCAGCAACATCTTCGCTTGCAGAAGATTTCACTTGTCTTTATGAAGTCCTTGAACACACTCAAGAATCAAAATGAAACAGAACTCAAGAGCTTTTGTGAAACTAAGTGCTTTTGTGCTCTTATTCTCATTCTACAAGTGGAGAGACTATGAGTTCTGTCAGATCACAGGAAGTGTTCATTGCAACTGGTAATCAATTTTACAAAGATCCAAGCCCTGAAGAAAAAAAAATTCTCCACTAGTTCAACAAGAAATTCAACACTCCATACTCTAACTTGACACTGGATTAGTGGGAAAGGAAAGCTTCTACTTCTGTTTACAACCTCCTCTGTCTTTCACTGCACAAAACCAAATTCAGCATTGCATCACTGTAAACACTGTACATAATATGCAACGAAATGCTGATGATTCTCTATATTTTTTTTTTACATAAATTGAAGAACGCCTAAGCATCATCTCACCCAAATACATCAAAACTCGCTCCCTATGGATACACAAGGAAGTTCACAAATGTAGCAATCTCAAGGCTGCTTTATTTCAAATCTCTCAATACCGCTTGGCATGTCTGCAAGCAGCATGCCTACAGCTCTACAGTGACCACACACACTAGTTGTGCTATCTGAGCACAACTTTCCACTGTTTCAGCAAAACCATTGTCTGCTGTCTTGTGGGTTTCCTTCCATTCCCCTTCAAATTTGTTCTTTAGTTCCAGGTTTGTCATTTCACTGCCACTTTGGCAGTTTTTTTCACCTCTTCCTAAAACATGAATGACTTGATGGAGATCAATGATCTATCAGAATGACTGGTGTTCATTTATCCTTCACCTTCTTCACTATTGTCTTCACTACACTGGACCTGCAAGTAGAAAACCTGGCAGCACACAAAATGTCCAGCTACTCATTTCCCATCACCTTGGCTGCCACACAGAGCACGTGACGTTCTGTCTGTAAGCTGTTACGTGTATGTCTCCATCAGATACTGCATGGAGATTATCAGCTAAACATACCTGGAACATGAAGCAGGGTATAAAAAAAATTCCTTAATAGGGAACAAAAAACCCCAAGGTCTTTTACTAAGCGCTAAAAGTTAGAAAGGAAATATATACAATTCTTGTCACAGTTTTAAGTTTGGTAAGTTAACCATATTAAATGCTTTCTTTGCAGAGTATATAAAGGTAACTTCCTGCTTGATTGTGCTCTTGTGATCAGTAAAGAAAAAAATAAACTTTTTCCTCTCAAGAGACCAAGAATTTTGTCAAATGGGTAACTGAAATTTCATAGAACAGATAAAAGCAAATACCAAAAAACCCCAATGTTTGCACTGCACCAGAAGTTTCAGCTATCTTAGATTCTCTGGTGCTTCAGTGGTCCTTTGATACTAATTATTAATACATTCTTACCCCAGCTCAAGTATTTCACATTACCTGATGTACTGAAGTCCAATGAAACAATCATATCAGTCAGCAATGTAATGAGTAGTTTTATTTTTTCCCTTACCTTTGAAGCTCTAAACCCATCCATCAGCTCTAGAATTTTAGATGGAAGTTTATCTGCACTTTCCAACACTCCATTCTGTTTTTCCAAAGGTATCACAAAACCAGTTCTGATGCTAGAACTGTTTTCAGATTTGTAAATAGCTCCCGAGGAACACATCCCACTGCTGTCCAACTTACTAGCACCCTTGTGCTCTGTGAAATTTGAAGATTCACTTTCTCCATCACTCAGGTTCTCAAAAGTGTCCACAGAAGGGATAGAGTCATACTTTTTACGTTGTACATTATGTTTAGGGGGTGGATAGTACAATTCTGCTAGCTTTTTGCAGAAGTGATTCAGAGGAAATCCCACCACATTCAAGAAGTCTCCGTGGACGTACTCAACTAACATTCCACCAAGGGCCTGGATTCCATATCCACCAGCCTTGTCCCTGAGGAAGGGAAAGCAAACACGACATGTATCTAATTAAGGTTAAGAGTAAATGTAGCACAGAACACAAATAACCCAACCAGTACTGCAGAGTCTGGAATAAAGACTAGTGTACTCAAGTTAGAGGCAGATTAATTCTACTAGTTACGCTCAACACTTATATTTATCTTGTGGTTTATAAATTGAAGGATCTGTATTTCTACTAAGGGTGAGTAGCCTAAGGTCCAAGTGCCATAGTCAGCTAAAGCAGGAGGCTCATGATCCGACTGCAGTCAGATTGTGTTGCCATAGATTACCCAGCATTCTCCAAGTCCTGGTTACCAAAAAGGTAAGAGCAAGCATCACCAAGACCAACACTGACACTGGATGGCTCAGCTGCATACTGACCCTCACTGTATTCCACAAGTGGCTGAAAAAGCTTTAGGAACACATTCGCTCCAGAAGGAGCTCGTGCTGAAGACAACTTAGAGCTCAAACAATTGCAGTATGTCTTGTGGATCTCAGTCACAGGAATACCTAAAGTGAGGATCAGGAAGACAGGATTTTCTGGGGGAGGAGCAACCTATTCAAAACCAAAACCACTACTATCCCATTCAGCCCTATACAATTCTTGTGTAACCCTCTAAGTAGAGTTGTGGTTCACAACACTGTGCTCTTAGATGTCATGGTAATACTACTGATTTGGCGCAGGAATGTATTTTCACAGAAAGTAACCTTAGAAATCTAATTTGTCTTTAGGTGTCATTATGCAAATTCCACTGTGTGGAATGGAAATGCATACAGGCAGATAAGCTGCAGTAGACCCAACAATTTTACTGTTCGCTTTTAAGGAACAAGGCATTCAGAAGTATGCTTACTACACGATAACACTAGAATCTGAAAGCCTAAGTCATCAAGCTTGGAAACCAAAGGTCAGTCAGTCTCAGATCTATTAACTGCAGGTAGCACAGAATTACACAAACTACTTGTGAAAGGAAGTTACTACACAAAGAAGGCTGTAGATTTTTCATGTTATGATTTGATCAGAACCAGCTCTTTACATTTTTAGGACTTATTTCTAGATTCCCTTTCCGATAGTCTCCTAAGAGAAAGAGAGGAATCAGTATCCCAGTAAATGGGATTTTTTAATTGCTGTAAACTAGGGAATAGGGCTTCTCCTTCGATCCTGCATTTTAAGCACCACTACATAGCTTTGTCATTGTTTAAATTATTCCATCTTTATAACATACTTAATACTTACACCATATAAATTAGGACTATTCTAATGACTAAAAAGTCTTTTCATTTTTAAATGAAGTAGCAATCCAGTAAGATTAAATCATTCTGGTACATGCTGACATGGAGGCAAAAAACATTGTGGTCATCAGAAGCCATGGTATCATACTCCCAGCAAGGACATTAACACAACTGGCCACATCTTGTTTATTTTTATACAGAACTTCATATTCTGGCATTGGATCCTGATTAGAATTCTCTACTACAGGTACAGCTTCCAGTTCAAAAGTATAAGGCTACATAGTTAGTAACAGTTCTATTTATTTTTCCACAAGTGTCTTCCAAGCTAAAACCCAGAATACATCAGTATTTACACAGCTCTCATAACTTGCTCTGGCTAATCTGACTGACTTTTGTAACTGGATACTTTTCTTAGTATAACACTAACTTTAAGGCTTCATTTCTAACACTATGCATAGCGTCAGTTAGCTTGCATTACAATAAGATATACAACTCACTTTGAAGAGTTTGGCAAACAGTAAGATCACTGCCGCAATTACAACTTTTTCAGTAACTGACTGTTGTAGAGGATACATAATTTCGGAATGCATGCAACATCCAGTGATTTAAAAACAAAACAAATAAAAAAACCCACAAATGAACAACCAACCCACACATAATACAGTAGGAATGTCTGCAATATCCACTGATCTTTTTTTATAAAAACCCCACCACAAACAAACCCACACACTATACAATGGTGAAAAATTGTTAAAAAATAGGTAACTCTGGAAAATGCAACGTTAAAGCACATTTCCTTTATCAGCTGTAGAACTTGAAGTTTTGTCATGCCACAAAACAGTATATCCATGTATAGGGTATCTGTATTGTCCGACACAGAGCCAATGATCAAGTCAGTCACTGTTCCACTAACAAGCACCACTGCTCCTACTCATGAAGGGAGATCTTGGTTGGGTTTTAGGTGGGCTTCCAAAGGCGAGAACACATGTACGACGGTTATACATGTGTCCTGGCCCATAGTGTCACATTAGTAGAAATACAGACACATCGCAGCCACGTTAGACAGAGTCCATCTGAACTACTGACTAGGCTTCACTAACAGTCAGAAAGGTACAGGTACATCACTGACAAAAAAATTCGTCTTTACTGAAGCAAGCGTTTAAAGCACATTAGAAGCTGTATACTAATTTCTTGCATCTCTATCAACTATTAGTTCATTGGACACCCCAGCTTATCTTCGCTTCACATATCTACAAATTAGGCAAGGCCCACCTTCAGTTCCTTTAAATTTGAAGTTAATGGTTCTGTAGAGCAGAGAGACTAGCATGACAGAGGTAAGGAGAAGCAGGTCACAGAAGGTCACCTGTCTCTTGGGAGACGCAACAGCTAGATATCTGGTCAGCATACACACATCATGGAACCAGTCAGAAATGCGTTTCTATTTGCAAAGGAATTGCAAAGGAGCAGAGACAGGCAGATACAACAAAAAGATTTGCCAGTAGGTTCTAGTGAATGTAGAACAACTATTTCATACAGAGGAGTCACCTGTAGCAACACGGTAAGACTGAAAACAAGATTCAGAGTTAATTCTAGTATAAGAACAGTGCAGCTCCCCTTACTTCCGTAATCCTGCACCTGGAAGATTTCTGCTCTTATGCTCCAAGAGCTGATCACCCCAAGCTAACCATGAACTAATTTGAGCTGTGAGACTGTAATTATTCACAAAATCTAAAAGATACATTTGCTATAGCTTTGAAGGAAGTAACTCTTAATAGAAATCATACAAGAGAAGAAAGTTAGACATTTACATTCTACATTTTATTACTTCATAGTTCAAGTCTGGAACCACAGAGCTCCAGCCTCTGTAATCACCCTCTTTCCCAGCGTGCAGTAGGGTCCTTTGGTTTCATTGCCACCATTCAGAGCAGAGCTACAAAAACCACGTAAGATCTTCAGACTGGAAGTTGTTCACAAGGGAAAAGATTATGAAATAAAAAGCTAGGTCAAAGAGGCTGGCAGAAACGAAATCTACTCATTACACAAGCCCTGAACAGTTAGGATTACTATGGTCCAGCCCTCTTTCTACAGAGAGAAAGAGACCCTGCCAGCAGGCAGAAAATCCTCAGTTGGAAAGAGAAATAGGAATAAAACAGAAAGGGAAAGGCTATCTTTCTGCAGCCCAAATTTTGGAGGGGTTTTATAGCCTTATCACAGTCTACCTTGACATAGTCCTTTTCCCTCTTCCCTTTATTCATACTTTAAGTCAACTACATACTTTTAGAACTAGTCCCTGTGTCACCAGTGACTGACTTTTAAAACACTATACGCCAATTCTGTCCTCACTATAAAAAACTCAATCCAATCCTGAACAGCACAAGAGAGTCAATTTTCTTCTAATTTTTCATGTGATCATTGAGTCTTGTATGATTTCACAAAATTAAGTCAACATTAAAAAAATAAACAAATGGTCACTTGAACTGCAACAGTGTTTAAAAAAAACCTGTATGCACATAAATGTGCAACCAGTACAGGCAGCTGTGGAGGAGGGGACAAAAAACCCTAGCCAACCAACCAAAAAACAACCACGAGACACTTCTCCTTACTATTTTGCAAAATTTATAGACACTATATTTAGTAGTTCCTTCACAAGGCCAAAGCAAATGCTTCCTATCCTCTTGATTATATGAATGAATATTGATTGGCTTCAGCTCCAGAGAGTAATGAAATACATTCTCATGACCTTTGGTTCCCAAGAAACCCTTGCCGTCACACACCTTATTTAGCAGAATGAACAGTACTACCCAGTGCTGTTCATGAGCCATTTTGCTGCAGCACAGCACTGCTAAAGCTTATTTTCTTCCAGAGGAAATAATCAGAATATTCAAAAATATTTTTCAACCTGACATTCTTCCAGAAAAAAAAAATCCATGGTCATTTCTCCTTTATGATCAACTGCATACTAAAGTTCACCTTTGAAAAACCTAACTAGGAATTTCTGTTACAAACTGTATTCTGGCCAAAACATTCTTCTCTGCATAATCCAATTGAGTTTCAGTCTCTTTAATAAGCTGGGAGCCTTACAAGTTCAGAAAGTATGCCTCATTTACACCTAAGGATTAAATAAATCCAAAGCCTTACACTGGTTCCTCTTCCCCAGTAAAAAGTAACTGTATTGTTTTACAGCACAAATGAGTTTAAAAACCACCATGACTGATACTCCTAGAGAGTCCGAATTGAAGTTACAGAGCCAAAAGTTCACCTCAGATCATCAGATAGGGAGTCCATAGTGCTAACTATGGCCTGGTTTGCCTTCACCAAGCTTCAGCTAACACAAAGGCAAATTCCATAAAGTCACAAACATTCCCTTGTTGTCTCCAAATAAGTCATGGGTTTTTTTTTTTAAACAGTCTAGTCAACTTCATCTTAGGATGCGTTAGGCATTCTGTTCTCATACTATTTCTTCTGTGGAATCAATGTTGTCTGCAAGTAATATATTAGAAGGGTAATGGAAACACATAAGCTAAGAGACAACTATGGAACACATACAAGCTGGCCACAAGAATAAATGAAAATTAGGCTGGCATTTCTTGCATCAGAGCACTGCGATTTTGATAAACTAAATAAATCAAGTTCTAGCTTATTTCAATAAAGTTCTCCAATACCGTGATTATCCAATACTCACTCTATTAACCTGTTTTATAATGAGAACTATGCATTGTCTCAGGTATCCAAGCTCCCTGAATGCCTCTGCTAACAGAGAGATAATTGTATACCGCATGAGCGCTTGCTCTAATCCAGAGCATTTCAACAGTCTTCACTTTTCAAATTTGTTAGGGTATTAAAAAGGCAGCTCAGTTTCCCTGGAGGGATGATAGATCCAGACAAGATGAACAGAATACCCACCTTGCATCACCCATGATAATATTTATCATATAGACACAGCAAAAATTCACAGAACACAGGACAAAATGTTTTATGGTGGTGGCTAATAACGTATGCTAAGGCCTATTCTCGAGTACTGTGTGATAGCTTCAGGGTCTTACTTACATTGGCTCCCCACTATGAATGTACTCCCATAAGAGCTCTTCAGACAGGTCAGAAAATTTTACTTTAGTCTCTTCATAGAAATCAGTGACTTCGGTCTCTAGCTGATTATCTACAGAAAGGAAGAGGCCTTATTAGAAACAGATACTGTAGTTTAGAGAGTGTAACATCTCGGGTTTATTTCGTATTTATTTCACGATATTGCTTGGGAAAAATTAAAGACACTACACAGATACATGAGATGACTAATAATGCTCTTTAGGGACAGTGGACTCATAACTTTCACCAAAAATAAAAGCTTCCATTTTCAACCTCTGCAGTCCTGTCTTGGGGTTAACAGGTTGCTCTGTCTTTGTGGGAGATCTTAAACTAATGATGCTTATGCAGAGCTATTTATGGACTGCTAGCATGCACATCCAGCACTGAGTACAAAGGTAGCTACAAACAACCTCCCACTTTATGACTGTTTTCAAAGAACTCTTAACAACACATCATAGTTAAACACGTAGCTGCTGTAAATGCTTGAATATCAATGTGCAGCTGCATCTGCGCTGCCGACTCAGGCATCCAGCAGTCCCATCAGTAACCATCAGTGTCGCTTTCACATAATCTCTCAAAAAATAAGCATCTATCAGACTTCTGGATCTAGAAGTGCTTGAGAGAAGGCCAGAGGAGCAATAAAGTACTGCACACTTGGCTGTGGACCCTGCTGCATGCAGTACCCTGTGAACCTGGTAGACGGGAGGCTTTTCCAAAACATGTTCAGAAGGAAACAGCCTTGCACAAATGAGCGTCCATGTTACGGATTATTAGTTCTCTTTACTCTTTTCTATAAATACTAAGGTCAGCATCTCCTCTTATTGCTGTTCTGATAGCAGCGGAAATTCTTGAGGAGGAGTAAGAAAGATCCTCAGTGCAGACCAACTGCTAATGGTGTTAGTGTTGAAAAAACATGTAATGACCCAGATGATAAAAAAAATTGTTACATATGAAGACAGATTACTACCTCTGTCAGTATTGATAAAAAAACCCAATCAGCTCAAGATGAAAAGTTCATCTGCAACATATGTGGTACTTAATAGCAGAACTGTAATCAAACTAAAACTAAAACCATATTCTAGAAAGCACTTCCATTGATTGCATCACTTGGGGAACACGCAGACTTGTGGTTATTTTTATTAATATGAGTATGATGTGCCTTAGATGTGTAAACTTCAAATGAGACATGCTGTCATAGCATCAGTACTACAGTTGCGTGCACTTTTACTTTCTTCCTAGAGCAAACAACTGAAGGCATTATTAGTCTTGCTGGATTGCTCACAGGAATCCCTTGATAACATGTTGTATTTTTCAGCAGCTCTTTCTACTGTACTAGCATATTAGTAAGGGTACTGGATCACTGACTTTATTTCTGTTACAAGAGTTAAGAGCAATCATTCCAGTAAAGATCAAAATCTGTAAATAATTTGTCTATAGAAAGACTATGTCTAGTAAAATTTGAGAGGAATGATCCTTGCAAAAGTTCCACTAAACAATATTGGATTAGTTATCAGAGGAAGTCCCTCAAACCAAACAGTGCTCAAATTATGTTAATAGTACAGGTCTCAAAAACTGCTTGCTTACTATATAAACTATCTGATAAAGAACATTGATGTATTGCTCCCTACAATTCATTAACAGTCTGAGGCATTAAACCATTACCTTACTCATCCCCTAAAAATCGGCTCTAAAGCTCCCCCTACAGATTTAGAATAGTCCCACAATTTACTCTGTTTTCTTAATTAGGTCCATAGCTTTCAGAGATAGTATTTCTAAACTCTATTGTACTTTTCCTGTGTGAAAACTTAATATAGTAAGAAGGTTGCCTTTTACGGAGAGTTTAACTTCTATATTGATAAGGTAATTCTCATCTTGAGTAAGAAGCCAATTCAGACTGTATATGAAAAATTTCCATTCTGTTACTTCACTTGTACAAGTCCTTATGAAAATAATTTTTAATGGCAATACTGAATTTAGTAAAATAACACACTCACCTTTACTACTGCAATGTATAATAGCCACTCCTGTGAAAACACTGTGCTCTTTCCCACTCAACCTGTAAGGGAAAAAATGTGCATTAAGCAATAGTTTTATGAAATCTGGCATGTGCAAAAATGTTCTACATGATTACGTTACTGTAGCCTGAGAAACAGACCATTATCTTAATACATTACTTGATGGCTCTGACATGCATCCTAAATAAATACATTTTATATTATTTCTTTATTTCAATATAGATGAAAATACATTGGCAAAACAAAAAAAGCTATCAAAAGATTCAGTCATTTCAAGCCTCCAAAATCTCACTTACACTGATGTCCGTAATTTGGAAAAGCAGTCCATGGTATCAGCTTATTTACTGTACACAGGGAGAAGTGACTATTTCAAATGCATAAGAAAAAGGCAATCAGCTTAAACACTACTATTACAGGCATCTTCACTGAAAGCTGGCAATAAATAGCTAGCTGATGCAACTTAAACCAAACAAGTGATAGGCAAGTAGAGCTTAGGCACTCATTTCATCCAGCCTGCCCCCAGGGTTTCCCACGGCAAGCCAGCGTAAGAGGTGCAGAGCGCGCAGGAGGAGCCTGCAGTCCCTCTTGCCCCAGACCTCTGCGCTCTCTCTTGTAGTGGCTCCAGAGCGCCACCCTGTGGCCGATAAACTCTGAGGACTTCAAATTAATTACTCTAATGTGTAAACTACGCAATTACAATAAATAGCATGAGATCTTGAGCCTTGGAAGAGACTAACTAAGGAATAGTCTCCTAGAGATTAGCCAGGCTATTATTTGATGTGAGCAGAAGCACCTTGCGCTCTTACTAGACCCCACAAGATTCCACATAATTAATTTTAAGATGAAACAGTGACTGAAAACTTTAATCTGACACCTTGGATATATGCAAATATATACCTTGTCTGCATTTTTTCCTGTTCATAGAGAACAAAATTAAGAGGAGTTCTAAAAAACTAAATTTTAAGTGAATTTCATATCCATGATTAAGAGAGTGACACACTGACTTTAAAAAAAAAACAAACCCAAAACATTTGCATGTGTTAGAAGTAGACTAAATTCAAAAAAAAAAAAAAAAAGTACTATTTTTGAACTACTCAAACTTGGAAAGATTTCAAGCAAAAACAGTTGTGAAATCTCTTGCCAGACAGACACCTTTGGCAATCTCCTACTAATAACATATGCTGCTATCACTTTTTTTATTAAGACTACTACTTTTGAGTTAGTAACATGGCACAAAGGATCAAAGATTCAGCCTAAGTCATCAAAGAAAAAAATATGAATCTAAAAGCCACTTAGAGTAAAACTCCAAAAACTACCAAGCCACTTGTATTCTCACGTTAGGAGACGCTTGAGTTACAATGTAAACTGGTGAAACAAGCAGTGCACCTTTTCTGTATTTCCCCCTTAAAACAGAAGCACGACTAGAGGATTCATCACACATCATCCTTGAGAAAGGGAGTGACTAGAGTTATTTAGTTGGTATTTCTTAGAAAAAGAGAGCACTACAAGATAACATTAAGCTTGTAGGGGAAAGTATCCTCTAAGAAAAAAGCAGAAGCGTCGAAAAAACACCAGCCCACCATCCACACAGAACACCGATGGAAGCAGAATTTTCCTCCTCAGTTAAACTACCGAATTTAAAGCAATTGCCCACGAACACTTTACTTTTGCATGTACTTCCTTGTACATGCAATACTCTTCCATTAAGTGTCAAGCCTCAAATGATTTCTATGATGTCCTCTTTCCCATCATGATCCCGTATCTCCCCATCCTGTACCACCTGAAGCATACATACAGTCATGAAATAAGTGACTCTGAAAACTAATCCAAGTGAAACCAAAATGGTTCGTTATGTCCCTGATCAGCTTCCTAAGGTGAAGGGGCAAGAGCAAGCAGCTGTGGGTAACATAAAAGCAGGTCTAACTTTCAGTGGCAGAACTGCCTTACACTACTTAAAATGACTGAAAAATTTGTGTCCAGGGAATTCTTCATATGCATCAAGGAATCTGTACAGCTCCTTTTAAAACAGCTTAATATACACATTTGGAATCTTACTTAAAACTACAGACCTTGACAGCATCCTATAGGCATCTTGCTTATCAACTGGTTTCTCCAGGATCTGCTCATCCACAGTCTAGAACAGAAAGACAGAACAAGCAGGAAGCTCACACTTACTTTTCAGAAACTGAGGCCAGAAATGATGTTTAAATCGTTATTTCAGCCATGGCTTCAACTTGAGTCTACTGAGTACAGCAAGAAGCACAGATACTTTGGTAGGACAGGTAATTTAGTGTCAAGCACATACTGAGTGCAACACTCTCCAGTGGCTGCAGCTCTCAAACAAAAGGGTAATTCAACTCTTGTCCTTCACCATTCACTGTCTCTGTGGAGACGACAGGTATAAAGTGATGCCCACTACAATGCACAACATTAAACAGTTCACAAGACCTGGACTTCTTGACAGTTAACAGTTGCCCGAGAACAGAATTTCCATTACACACTAGAGGATCCAAGGCAATGATTATGCAATACTAGTGTCTCTGCAAACAGCAGCCAAGGCTTCTAGCACCCAAGATACCAAAAATTGCCTTGTTGGGGAAAAAAAAACAAACAAACAAACTAAAACCCACAAAACCCAAAAGACATATCAAACCGCAGGTGTAACTCCTGAGTGGAAACAGCTTTCAAACTTTAACTTTAAACCTAAAGATACAAGCATTTTCTACGCCTGTCAAACTAAAACAATGCTAAACCACAGAAGGCTTCTTACCACAATAGTGTCTGCTCCTATGACAACATCAGGTGTTCTCAGGTGTTTCTGCAAAGGCATAAAGAAAGAAGGTGTTTCTCAAAAGAGGTAGAAAGAACAAAACCTTTTAAAACTTAAGGTAAGAAAACATGTTTTCTGGTTTACAGGTAGGGTTCTACATAGACCTGAAAACAAGACACTGTTTCTCCTTTTGCACTGTTTACAAAATAGTAATTATTTATACCTCCGTAAAAGTGAGGAAAACAGGAGGCCTGAGCAGACTATTCTCGGGATACAATTTTGCCCAAATACGTTACTGACAAACAAATGCATCCAGGGAAGAACTAACTGCATTCTTAAGAGTCAGCCTGGCCTTCAAGGTGGCAGATAGAATTCCTTTAAATGAAGTGCCCCATGTATGAAAGGCAGGGAGTAGAGCCCTCTAGGATCATTTTTCCAAGCCAAGTTTTGCTGAAAAAAAAATAACCTTTTTTTAGCTACATTTTGCTTCTCTCTCTCATAAAGGAACACATACAGCCCACTTTGGGGAATTGAGAGGTAAGGATATGTAAAGATTCCTTGTAGCTTTTTCTTGGCTTTAAACTGTAATCTGTCCTTATAGCTGAGTGTTTATTTACTTGCATGTTACAAAGTACATAGTTATTAAACACTGCAGGAGAGGAAACTTGCCTGTAACTGTGATCATTATATCAAAAAGTTTGTAGGGAGGTGATTCTTCCCTAGAAAGGCAGTTCTGCTATGCAAAGCGTGTCAACAAATCCCAGACATGATTAAAAAAAAACCCTCCTTGTATGAAGAAGCATTTTGAAATCCACTGAACTAGCATTATTGCCAGCATAGTGCTTTGCAATGAAAGCCCAATGCCAGTCAGTTAGTGAGGCTGGGTTTAAATTCCACTCTCCTAATGTTGTACCATAGTCTGAAAAGAAGTTGACGGAAGCCTGGATAACGATTTACATTGCAGGTCATGCAATATTTGCTTTGAAGAATGGTGACACCTGGCAACATTGTGGGTTTGAAGTGTTCGACATTCCTTTTCTGCCATCGCTATAGGTTCAACAAGCATACTCCTCTCTTCCAGAGCTGTATTATTAAGAAATTCTTATGGTACATTTTGTGGGATCTGATCAGATAGACTTTGAAATAGGTTCTGGTAGAGATCAGCCCTACGTGCTCAAACACAGTGATCACGGCTAAGGGCAGAAGTCAAATATGCCACTGACAGTATAAATTCTGTCACTGGTTTTCATAACATTTAGGATGCAAAGTGGATGCCTTGACTACAGAATGTGAAATCATGTCAGCTTCATCCTTCTTAAAATGAAATGGCCCGTTTTTTTGTCCACAATGCTTTAAAACAGAATTTGTCTTTTTCTGCTTTCCTCCAGCCCCTCTATACTCACAAATTATGAGCTATTCTCTTGTCACAACTGTTCAGTTGAACTGCTGTTCAGTGAAAGCAATAGCAAAGCACTGGATTCACATCAGTGTGTTTTTCCCACAGAGTTTGCCTCCACAGTTAATAAATACCTGGAAATGAACAACCATCCCATCACACACCTGACTGTTGGAAGGAACTACCCAGTACATATCCCCAGCAGCAGTAGGTGTGCTGCTGACAAGAAGTGCAGGCCACTCCTGTTTGTGGAAAAGCCCTAACTGCAGGCACAAAACCTTCTTTTGATTAGATGAGTTAATTTCAGGAAGCTATCTTTCACAAATGACAGAAAAACATCCATTTGCCTTCAGTGGGGAAAACGCACTCAAGCCATCACCTAAAGAAGTACATGCAAATTAAGTCACAGTAACACACACCACTTAAAGACAAAAATCTTATTGCCAAAACAGCTGGTAACTTACCACATGCATTCTGTTTGCTACCTCAAGAGCTTTCTGTTTTGCTGTTTCCACAGCATACTCATAAGGGGCTGCAAAAGATGACTTTTCAAGTGTCTCCTTAAACCAGGATGGAACCACCTCAAACCGCAGGCCCTGTAACAAAGGGAAGCAATGGAGTCAGTCTGATCTTGTCATTAACGGCTGCTCCCAAGACATATAAAGCAAGTGACAAATTTGATCTTTGCTCTTTCCACTTGAACACCCCTGCCCCCAAACACAGAGGGGAAAAAACAGTGCTTCTCTTACAGTATTTGGTGTATACCTACCATCTGCAAACAGTCCAGGACAAGAAACAAAATCAGAAAGAACTTCCAAACTGGTCTGCTTACTTGATTTTACCCTTATTATTTATTAGAACCTAATAGTATTAGATTTTTATAGGAGAATAATGGTGAAATTACTAACAGTATAAAACTTACGCACTTCATGAACAGACTATTCCGCTACTGGATTTTTTTTTTTTTTTTAATTGACTCCATCCATAGCACTTCACTTGTGCACCAGTTGTACACATTCTTACAGGAGCTTTACCACCCACACTTTAGGTGTCATTATACATGTGATAAACAGAAAACAAGAAGAGTCAGTTTCTGTGTGGTTTTGTCAAAAAAAAAATTCTTCCTACTTCTTGCCTCCAGGTTATACCTGTACATTTACTACACCCAACAGGCACATTATGTTTCTGATAACTTAGTGCATGCTTGAACCTTGGTGCTTCTCCATATCTCTGTATTTCAAAAAGAATATACTTCTTTCCCATTTAAGGTCAGCTTCTCCCATGAAGAACAGTAACACTACAAAATCTAGATTAGATGCATTATAACACCCAAGTGCTATTCAGCAGCCTGCCCACTGAGGTCAACATGTTCCTTCACAGGGGCTGAACGGTCCGAATGACAGGTTCCAGTTCCCTTTGCACGCCGCAAGTGCTTTACAGAAGGAAGGGACTGCTACCTTATTTCCCCTGCACACCCCTCCCCGCTCATAATACTAATCCCATTAAGTTTTCACACGTTTCAGAAGCCCAAGTCAAATTTTCAGTACGTTCGGTATTAAGTGTCTGAAGTAAGGGCAATGGAAGTACATTTTTAATGACTTCAGTCCTGTAAACATTCCAGGCTTTTCTATTATGGGCCAGAAGTAATTATGCCGGCATTTTTCACCCCGAGCAAGCCTTTTACTTGTTTGACCGCACCACGCCCCTGCCAGCAGAACACTTTAATCCACCCTCACGTTAATCTGGTCACATACAAGACGAGCAGCTCAGGGGGCAGAAACGC